AAGTCATAATTCGCTAATCTCCCTGCAATTTAACGCTATACAACCTAAGCTGGGGGTCAAAGGGGTAGTATGTGGTCCCCAGAGTATGTATCTTGCTGGTGGATGTTATCAAATTTCCAGGATTGCTAGAATGGGGCGTGGGGCCCTCGGAGTGATTGGACGAATGTGGCTATGAATAGTGAAGACTGACTGAAGCTCCTGGAGAAAGCCAGGGTCCACACAGGACTTTCGAGCCGATAATGATGATGACCTCAGCTACTGACAGGGTCGTTAAAAAGAAGATAAATGGATATATCTCCAAAATTGGCAGGAGAATATAACTGAATTTTCGTATTAAGAGTCTGAACTAAAAGCTGTTGAATGAATTAACAGTAGTTTTCCTTCAAGTCAGTAAAATAGAGATATCCCCGTACCAGGCCGTGAAGGCCCATAGGGTTGCGAGACGTTGAGGGTCCCACACTGTCTAGACCAGGCATGTCAAACTCAACTTGTACAGAGGGCCACCTCATCCCTATAAATAATAGTCCAGGTCCGCACTTCAAAATAGAAATATACATTAGATTTTGATACAAGGAAATTTAATTCTATTTATTATTTAGGAATAATTTAAATATAATTACCTAAAGTCACATATCTTACAGTTTTAAAAATCAAGAGAATGCCATTTTTGACAAGTATCAAACAGCGTTTCAATGTGTAAAAAGAGAGATTACACAAGAAATAATGTTAGAAATAGCAAAACATTGAATTTCCTGCAGCCTGCTAATTAATGTCTGCGTGAGACTTCTTGTCTTCTGGTCTTTGGGAAAATTGTCTTTACAAAAAAATTTTCTACTAAAATTGTAATATGGATTTTAATATCAATTAGCTCTAAGAGTTGAGGGGCCGCATGTTTGACACGACTGGTCTAGACAATCGGCTCAAAGATGGCGGTAAGGTTGTCAGACCTACGCGCCGGCCGCGCTTTACTACCCAGGAAAATTATTTAATTAATTCCTGGTACTCATTTCTGTTAAAGGCTGAGTAAACCCCAGGGGCTAGTGCGGCTGGAAGGATTAGGTCAACTGAAAAAAAAAATCCAATGAAATTTACTTTACACGAAAACCAAATCGAATTTCACATATTTTCTCTGACACGGTTTGTCGGCAGGAAAAAAAATATTCGTCACACAATGAAGACCCAGCTGAAATCAGTTTTTACCACGGAATCCACCCCCCCCCCCACGATATAGCAGATACTCAACTACATGGACCACAGCCCTTCTACCAGCCCTGTACCATTTCCCCGCCTTTTGTAGAACTTGAAGCTTTATTAATCACGCGTGGAGGCGGGTAGAATATCTCAAACGTAGCCCTGCGAGTTATAAAAGGTGACGAAAAGGGAGCCCAGTGTCTGGGGGTATAACTGGGCCATCATGTCGCTGGGGGACATATATACAGAAACCTGGTCATCCAGATTGGGGATTGGGCGTATGGCTCACAACCCTGCACTGTAAAAAAATATTTTTGTGAAACTCAAAGAAGTGAACCTTGTTGCAAACTATAGCAATTTTCTAATAAAGGCTAGGGCTCAAAAAGGGCTGTTTGTCCAATGATCATGATTATGAAGGTTTATTACCTTAATCACAAACGCCGATCACTGGTCTCTATCCTAAGCCAGATGAATCCAGTCCATATCTTCCAACCCTATTTCCGTAGGTCCTTACAAGCCCGAAGGTCGCGGGTTCGATTACCCATGAGTCCATTAGATTTCTCAATTTGCCTAATCATTCCAGCTGACTGTCTCAGAAATGAGTACCAGGAATCATCCCGTTGTTAAAGATACGCCCGCGGGCGTAAGGCTGACAACTTCACCGCCATCTGTGAGCCGACTGTCTAGAAAATGTGGGAGCCTAGGCGTCTCACAACCCTTTGGGTCTCCACGGCCTGTTACAGGGATAGCTTTACCTTTACCCTTTTTTTACCCATTTCAATATTATCCTTCCTTCTACCCCTAATTATTATTGTTATTGATAGTGGGGTAGGACTAAGTCCCTTGTACTGCGGCCACTTCTGGTCTATTGTACCAGCTCCAGATGATAGGTGAGGGTGATTGTGGAGCAATTGGTGGAATGAAGATCGGCGGGGGGAACCGAAGTACTCGGAAGAAACCTGCCCCAGCGCCACTTTGTCCACCACAAATCCCACTAACCCTTAGTCTTCCAAATTCTTTCTTTCCTTCCTTCAGGTTTTCCTACCGGAAATTTTTATGCATTTCTCTTCTCATTCATGAACTCATGACATGCTCTTCTCATCAGCATTCATTCCTGTGAGGCAATTGTCTTGAGAAAGTGTGGGAGCCTCGACGTCTCACAACCCTTTGGGTCTCCACGGGCTGTTACATACTCGTAAATAGCTTCTCTTCTCATTCATTTTATAATACTAATAATATTCAAGTGATATTTATACGAATTACAGCTTATCACAGTAGCAGCGCGGTCTAAGGCATGAACCCTCTTTGCCCCCAAGAACACTGGTATCGTGGGTTCGAATCCCACTCGAGGCATGGATGTCTGTGTGCGTTTATTTTTTGTGTTGTTCTATGTGTAGGCTGTGGCCTTGCGATGGGCTGATCCCCCGTCCAAGGAGTCCTACGGACTGTGTATAGATTAAGAAACTGAAAAAGCGGCCAAGGTCCACAAGGGCTGTAGAGCCATAGACAGACAGATGAATTACAAGTTTCAAATAGGTGTTTAAAAATAGAATAAAAATAAGCATCAGAGCTGTACAAAAAAAAACTGTCTTGAATTATGCAAGTACAGGTACTCATAATTCCTCTGATATTGGGGTTAGCGTTCAGTGTCCTTTGTACTTTGGGCGGTAAGATTACTATGTACGTTATAATTAACACTGCGAACGATATATGATCTGACAAATAAGGAAGATGTGTAGCCATGTTTTGATGAATGTTTTCAGTACTGACCTAAATACCTTAATGTCAACATAAAGGTAACACACTGGCCCATGTTGGAAAACCGTTTAGGTTTATGGTGTTCATTAACAATCTATTTATCTATACTGGAACAAAAACTGAATTTCTAAGGCGCAGTCCAAATTAAATAGTGTACTCAGATTTTCCAGATGTACAGTTCATTGTTTTTTGCACCTAACTAGCCTTGATGTTAATTTATTACAAATGCAATTCAGTGGTCACAAATCTGTTCGCATTTCTGGCGCAACAATGCTTGGAGAGAGCAGAGTGAGTTTTCCTTGTGTTTAGTTGAGTATTCACCACATCTGTAGGCAGTAATGTATAATGCAGAGAACTGTAATATTGTCCGTTGTTTAGTATGGGTGTGAAACTTTGTCTTTTTAAGAAAAGAGCATAGAGCGATGGTGTATGAGAACAGTGTGCTGGGAGAATTTTTGGACCTAAGAGGAAACAAGTGACAAGAAGTGCAAGAAATTGAATAATGAGGAGCTTCATGACCAAAGCTCCTCACCAATAAGTTACATATTGAAACAACGGGCACTCGTATAAGTTACCAATGTGAGACAATGTTGTGTAAGAAAATTAAGGAGAAGATTCCGACCTCAACTGCAGGATCTTACAGGTCTACATAGAAACACTAATCACACAGCTGACAGTAAAACGTGAGAGACAGGATAGTTACTGGACAAAGATTGGCTTCCCACCGCGGTGGCCCGGGTTCGATCCCGGGTATGGTCAAGTGGGATTTGTGGTGGACAAAGTGACGCTGGGGCAGGTTTTCTCCGACTACTTCAGTTTCCCCTCCCAATCTTCATTCCACCAAATTCTCCATTATCATAATCACCCGGGGGCAGGTACAATAGGCCAATCAGTGTCCGCCGTGCCAAGTGGACCCAGCTGGACTCCAACCCCTCTAAGCGAATTTTTAATTTTTTACTGGACAAAGTCAAGGAGATAGGGGGGAGAAGAAAAATAAGAACTGAATCAGAGTGTCGAATACTCACTGACGAGATTGGATGAAATCGGCGCTGGCTTTAACACTAACCTCAAAAATCCCCAAGACCCTTTGCACAGGAAATCTGGGCTCCAAGTTTCACGTTCGCTCTATTACTAATAGGTAAATTAAACTCATAAATGTGAACATTTTACGGAAGTCTCAGGAGTGTGTGCGTAGCAAGAGCATTTCTGGCATTGCTGTAATCTGGATGAGGTCTGTTTCTGATTTTCTTGTCTGTAGGCTTGTTTCCGCTAGAAATCCGACTTCCGCCAATTCGGCTGGCTGCAACCAGTGTCAGCCTCTTTCGCAGAACCCAGCAGTGCGACAAGCCCTGAGATAATCGCGTTGTATAAATGTAATCTCAGAGCCAAGACAAATAATTTCTGACGTAAACGGTCTTTATTCCATCATGAAATTGTGACCGACAAAATGTTGAAGCTGTATAATCGGATCAACTGAAAGAATCGTTAAATAGATTAAGAATATTGACGTGTTTTCGTTTAACTCAGGTTCTCTAGGACAGCATTAAATATGCCCTAATTCCTCTAGAACCTCCATTGACATTACAATCGTTTCTTAAAGGATGCTGCATAACCCCGATGTTGACAAATCCTCGTAAACATTTTACGAGGCTCTGTAAAATGGCAAGCCAAACAAACAAGCTAGCGATTAAGGTTTATATCCAAATATCCGGGAAGACGAAAATGTGGACATTAGAAACACAGTCAAGACAAGAGTCAGTAAAAAGAATATGGCCACGAAATGGGAATCCGAATAGAACCTACAACTGACAACAGTGGGAGTAATTTCTAAGATAATTCATCATTGTCTAATGACTGTGAACTTACCACATTCTGAACTAAAACAAGATTTGTTTGCACTTCCAACATTGTAACAAAAAAACAAAAAATACGACTCACAACTTTAACGCAACGCGGGAACATTCTTTTTCCAGTTATACACTACTATGCCATCTATACGACCTATTACAAACTATACTAAAATGAGAGCATAGTTATGCGCATAGCACAAACATGGCTAGCGCTTGTTGATAATTTTGTGTACTTGTAGAATTTCACAATGTTTTGAATAGTGGTTAATGTGTTTATGAATGTTATATGTCCGTAAATTGAAGGTCAGGTACTTTCTTCCAAAATTTCAGAATGACGTCTGTAAATTCCGCTGCAAAGCGATCAAACAGAGGTGAGATTAGGAAAGTAAGGTTATGTTACTCATTTCTTTAGAGGCTGAGTCTGATAAATTTCCTATCCAGAATGGTCTAAGACAAGGAGATGCTCTAGAACCATTCCTCTTCAACTTCGCTTTACAATATGCCATTAGGAAGGTGCAGGAAAACTAGGTGGGACTGAAATTAAATTGGTCATATCAGCTGTTGGTCTATGGTGATGATGTGGATCTACTGGGTGATAATATAGATACCATAAAGAGAAACACAAACTTAAATTAATGCTAGTAAGGAGGTTGGTCTAGAAGTAAACAGAGAGAAAACTAAGTATATGTTGCTGTCTGATCACCTAAATTCAAGGCAAAATCAGGACATAAAGATAGGTAACAGATGTTTTGAAAATGTGGCACAGTTCAGATATTTGGGAACAACTATAACAAATCAAAATCTGATTGAGGATGAATGTAAGAGGAGATTGAACTAAGGTAATGCTTGCTACCATTCAGTCCAGAACCTTTTTTTTTCTCGCCTGCTGCCCAAAAACATAAAAATTAGACTGTACAAAACTATAATTTTGCCTATGGTTCTGTATGGGTATGAAACTTTGTCTCTTACATTAAGAGAGGAACATAGAATGAGGGTATTTGAGAAAAGGGTGTTGAGGAGAATATTTGGACTGAAGAGAGATGAAGTGACAGGAGGTTGGAGAAAACTGCTTAATGAGGAGCTTCATAGCTTGTACTCTTCTCAAAGTTTAATTAGAAAGATCAAGTCAAGGAGGATGAGGTGGGCAGGACAGGTAACACGAATGGGGGTGAAGAGGAATGCATATGGGATATTGGTGGGAAGACCAAGGCATAGGTGGGTGGACAATATTAAAATGGATCTTAGAGAAATAGGATTGGATGGTATGGATTGGAGTGATCTGGCACAGTATAGGGCTCTTGTAAACACGGTAATGAACCTTCAGGTTCAATAAAATGCTGGGAAATTCTTGAATAGCAGCAGATTTGGCTTATTCACAAGAAAGGCTCAGCTCCATAAGTAAGTATATGTACATATATTACACTAAATTTTGTGTTAACAGATGACAGTGGACCAACAGAGAGGAAGAGGTCTAAGATATGTTGTAGCTATGGGGATAATTGCTATCGTAGAAATCCAACACATTTCACAGAATATTCACATCCACACTGTAAGTAGATTAATGCTCATATTTTTGGCCAATTTCACTGATTTTTATAAGAATAGAAAAGCTGTGTAGTATTATATCAGCATGCAAATGTGTCTGCTGTATAATTTTTTTAACAACTTCACATTCTCGTATTTCTGTTAAATCTTGTAATTTTGTATTGTGTAATACCTTAATATAAAGTAGATCCCACTTACATTCCTCTGCATAGACATTTTATAAATTCATGAATATTTCACTTGGTCCAAACTGACTATTGATATAGGTAGAGAAGTAATTTTGGGACAGAACATGCTCATTTCAAATTCTTATTCACTCCACTCAGAATTCATGACCACATTTCATTTCATGTTCTTCAGTTCCAACAGTTGAAGTGACATCATATTATCAAATCATCTGTATTTTCTGATTTTAGGCTTTTATTGTGATTAACAGGGCCCAGATTTTGATGACATGTCATCTTTCTTTCCTTATATTCTATTCAATGCCTATAAATATATAAATCCTGGAAATGAGCTGCTGGTTACAGAAATATAACTTTTATAGGTCATTTTTGGTCAATTTTTTTGGTTTGGGGTAATTTTTTGGACTTTTAAGGGTATTTTTTGTCATTTTAGCTATTTTAGTGAATTTTTCTTCATATGTTTTCAGAAATGTGAATAATATGCAAGTAAAGTGTTCTTTCTTTCTCTTTCTCCTGCCTCTACACAGGCAGCCTGCAGCTGCACAAGTACCTGCTACCACAGTATGCAATATTAAGTTGTAATCCTGTCCCGTCCTTTTTGTTCGTTTTGCGGAAAGTGCTGGCATTACATATTATAAAACATTTTAAGCTGGCAGCAGGGTACAACAGCAGTCATTGACACTGTGGCCCTTTCCAAGTTCTGTGCAAAGGAATTTGCTTAGTTACAAATATTTCTAGACAGAATCCATCGCTTTTTATGACATATTGTTGCTCAATAAAACTCTGTCTGTTTTCAGTTTCTCACCCTTGACCGTCCAGACAAAGATACAGTTGACAAAAGGTTCTCAGTGTGAAAAGTTCAGTTCTGTGTCACACTAGAGTGATTAATTTTATCACGATGCCTAAAGCAAAGCCATCTAAATCATGTCATTTAAAGCAGATTGTAGCTGAATTTGGAGATGATATATTTTCAACTGACGGTAACATTTTATACTGTAAGATGTGTGACACGAAATTAGTGGCAGAAAAATGTTTCACGGTACAACATATATGAGCAGTGCAAATTTTGAACAAAAAGAAATCTGTGCAAATGTTACTGCAACAGTGTTCAGCTGAAGGCGGAAATAAGTCATCAGACTTTCTTCACAGATCTGTGTGATGCTCGGGTGTCCGCAAAAATTCCGTTTTGGGCTCCGAACAATGAAAAACTGAAAAATTTTCTGGAAGTGAATTGTGGTCGTTCTATCACATGTGAATCCACCCTCAGGAAAAAACTACCTTTCCAAGTGCTACAACAGTATCCTGGAAATGATTAGGAATAAACTGCAGGGGCAGCAAATTTTCGTTTCTATTGACGAGGCCTGTGATACGGAGGCTCGCTACATGGGAAAAGTCATCATTGGAACCTTGGAAACTGATGGACCAGGTGAAATGTTTCTGCTTACGAGTGAGGTGCTGGAATCCATTAATCATTCCACAATTTGTAAACTCTTTGACAGGTCAATGTTTCTCCTGTAGCCAGAGGGTATACGACACGACGTCGTCTTGCTTTTTGTGACTGATGCAGCCCAATATATTTTAAAAGCCGGCAAGTCAGTAAAGTCATTTTATAAGAAATTGGTGCACGTTACTTGCCTAGCACATGCACTGCGTAGAGTGACGGAGGAAGTGAGATAAAAGGTTTCCTCAAGTGGATGCTCTCATGTCGTGGACGAAGATTTTCGTCAAGGCTCCAGCTCGTAAAATACAATTTATATCTATGGCTCCTGGTGTTCCACTCCCCCCGGAACCCATCACGACAAGGTGGGGAACGTGGACTGATGCTTCGATTTACTATTGCTATCACTGTTTACATTCCCTATAGAACGGACAATACTTTGTAAAATATGAGGCACCGACTACATACGAATTAACATTAATATTACTACATCTATGTCACGAGCCTCCAATAACAGTTTTTATACACAAAATATAGAATACTCTAATTTATCCATGGGAACGAAACAAAATCACAAAAACCAATGACTGACTCAATGATGTAAAGCATCAATCGAAGAATTTTATTCTTGTTTTATACTATAACTTTTGTTTTATATGATCTAATTTATTGTATTTTACGTCAAGTATTTTAATATAATTAATATTATTATATCCAATTTTATTAGTACTGCAGTTCAGTGGTGTATATATGTTAGCCATGTATTTGCCTGATGATGGCTATTAATAGCCGAAACTTGTAGCAGAGCCAAAACCAGGCACTGACCTTGACATAGTTGTGTTGTGACGGTCTCAATAAAGAAGTTAGATAAAAAATAGGTTAGCTCTCATGGCCAATTTTATAGATCTGGCATGTTTTGACTTTAAATCCCTTTTACAATGGCCTTGATGTTTGACGTGCTGCCACAATGTATATAATATTATATTCTAGCATCCTTTGACACTTCACAACTCAACAAATGTTACCAATTCACTGTCTTACATGCAACTCATCCGTCTAAAACTGATTAAAAAGTTTCCTATATCACACAGTGCATCTTTCTAAAACTTATTTAAAAAAATTTGTACGTTGCTTTAGATGTTTTGCCCAACAGCGGTCATCATCAGTATTTAAAATTGTTGTGCTTCCAATATCGATGTGTAGTCTCGTCTGTGCCTTGTATATTCTGTGGTGCTGGGTGGCTTATCCTGTGGTATGTCTAGATTAGAGACTTGTAGTCCATTCTTTTATCAGAGCAGCAGTTTAGTACATATAACAAATAGGTACTGCTTCCTGGATTGCCAATGATATCAAAAAATGTTGGCTGGCAACTAATTTCCCATTTGACATTCAGGGTTTTTTGTGGAGGCTTCTGGCAGTCTCTGCAGTTACTTGTGGCACAGAGGAAATGGTGGACCATATCCAAAGAAGTTAAGATGAACATTGTCATAGAAATTAAACACATGTTTAAATTTAACACCCCCCCCCCACCATTATTTTATGTCTGTCCTGCATGTGATTAAGTTAAACAATGTGGCAAAAGGAGAGGTGGAGATTACTCTCTTCTGAGATGTGAAACTGCTCTGAGGATGAAGACAGCAGGTTCCTCTCAAACACTGGTAACCTTCTTCCAGAACTGCACAGCATAACTTCCCTGAAGAAAGTAAATTTCATATTCACCCATGTGAGAACATCAGATCTCATACTGGAAGAAATTTTTCATGTACACCCATAGCAAGGTGACACATGATGTAGATCCATCCTTATTTGTCTACAAGATTTTCAAACTTTCTTCATTCCTACATCAGTTTGTGTCCTGTCAATGCATGCCTCCAGCTATTCAGTTGCACTGTAATTTTATTAAAATCTGTCTTCTTATTTCAGTGGAAAAACTTTATTCTCAACAGAAGGCTGGAGAAGACCTCAGGCTGCCATCTGGTTACAAGGCAAAGATAGACACAAACATAATTCTGGACCAACTGCAAATATACCGTGATCAAGGTTTTGCTACAGAGCCAAACATCGAAGATGCCGAAAGACAGGAGCACAGCACCGAAGGTGACAGGCTAACAGTAGTAACTAGCCAGAATGAAGTTCTCGCCAGGAGAAAGGGCTTTGCCTCTAAATTGGCTGAGTCTAGCCCTTACAACTTCTTTCTGACTGCTATATGTGATTCACCACCCACTCATAAAGAGGCTCTCTCTATCAGTTTTCATGAGCTCCTCGATCCAACATTGGGAGACCTGGATTCATCTCTACAGATCAACTTTATGGTTGAATTGGATTGGTTGATGGAAATGTATAAAGTATATGGAAATGAGTAAGTTGGGCATATGTACAATTCTTTTCGTTTCATGCATCCTGTTGTTATTATATACAATTCTTTTATTAGAGTCCTTCGCAACACAAGAATACAATTGTCAAGGCTAAAATTATTTGCAATCTATATTCCCTACAGAACGGACAAAATACATTTTAAGATGAGGCACTGGCTAAACAATTAACGTCAAAACTATACTGCATCTATACCACAGGCCTCCAAGCAGTTTATTACATGTATACAAGTCTGAATATACCATTATGTCCGCGGGAATATAACAAAATTGCAACAACTGACTTGATGATACGGAATATCACATGAAGAGTTTTTAATCTTATTTTATGCCATAATGAATGAATGTATAAGGGGTGAGCCTTCTCAGCCCTTGCACCGCGACCTACAGTGGTCTATTGTGCTTATATTTTATGCCATAACTTTCTTTTTTAAAATAAGTTTATAGTGCATTGTACTTTTATACCATGTATTTTATAATGTAATAATTATCAAGTATCCATCTTCACCATCGCAATAGCAGTTCAGTTGTGTGTGAATATGGTAATCATGTGTTTGCCTGATGATGGCTTTAATAGCCAAAACATGTAGCCAAGCTAATTTTAGCCTTGAACATTGAAGGTAATTGCTGGTTCATTACAATGCAGTTCTGTTGGATATTTTCCATTCTTTGAGTTACACTTATTGTACAACAAATATCAGAAACTACCTGTAGTCAGATCTGCGGTAGGGAAGTAGGTGGTCAAGTCTTCCCAGAACTTCTTGTTTATAATCAGGGAAGCTGAAAACATGTAAATCCATCAAAACCTGAAGACCGGTGTTTTCACAATGCTTTCTCATATATATTATATATATATGAGAAATTGGAGATGTTCAGAATTTGTTTAGGTAAATTTTTTGTGTCCTGTAAAGTAACAACATGCTGGCCATACAAAATTTATATTTAGCTTTTCTTTTAATGATTGCCTATTAAACCATTAGAATTTGGAATACAAAATTTGGTATTTATGTAGATCATAAGTGTATTGTGACATGAACAACAGAAGAGACAGCCATTGCTAGGCATGGCACAGTAAACACACAGTCACATCACTGAACACAGTGGCCAGTAAAGAGAATTATGAGACAGTGTTTTCTGTGGGGCCCATGCCGAAGTTACATAAGGAGAGTTCAGACAAAGAATTAGAGTTGAAGTTGTGAGTTGAGAGTCGATAGTTGAGGACGAGTCGTGAGATGAAGGCCAGCTGGTAGAAACATAAGTGAAAACAGAAGAATCTCCATTGTTGAGAACCATAACCAGGCAACTACTAGTGAAGACTACAACAGAAGAACACAGTGTGTGCTGTGGTATGACAATATCTACAAACTGTATATGAAGTGTATGTTATGCATCAGTAGTTCCAAACGTGGCAATGATGCAGACATGTTGAGTTATATGTGACAAACTAAATATAGTCAGAATCTCTAAGCTTTCCCCGTAACAGGCCACAGAGCCTCATAGCGTTGTTAGATGTCAAGGCTCCCACATTTCCTAGACAATTGGCTCACAGATGGTGGTGATGTTATCAGCCTTATGCGCCGGCCGCACTTTTACCCCAGGATGATTCCTGGTACTCATTTCTGTTAAAGGTTGAGTCTAGCCTAGGGCCATAGTATGGCTGGAAGGATTAGGTGAGTTGAAAAATCCAGTAACCCCATTGGAAATCAAACCCACAAACTTCTGGTCTGTAGTGCCTCAACCAACTGTGCCACCGCATGCTGCAATCAGAATCTCTGCTAATGGATTAATACTTATTTAAGTGATGAATTACGGATAGTATTAGTGTGCAGTTTTTTCTTTCTTCTTCTTCTTCATATAGACTGAAATATTTTAATGAAAATAGTCTCACTATTTTCAGTGGCATGTGAGTCAGTCTCACGAACCAGATGTGGAAAATAGTCAGTCATATTTTCTAATTGTATGTTTCTGTGTTTTACAGGAAAAAGCCACTTTTCATTATATATGGAGATGATGATGATGTATTAAATGATCCAAAGGCACTTCCTGAGAACATTAAAGCAAAGAAAATAAAACCATCAGCCTTCGGTCATCATCACACGTTAGTATGTCACTGAAACTTACAGATCTGTTGAGGTATTCTGACCGTGTATCAATATATTGTGATTTTTTTAATATCATCAATAGTTTCAGGTCTTTCTGTTTTATTTTACATGCTGAGTCCTTTGCATGACTATTGCAACACATGAATAATTTTCAATTAGGACTGATATTAAACATTTCTATGTACTCCATCTTCTAGGTTGTAGCATCACATAGTCAGTTCACTAATGTTTCGAAGGAATGTTCTGCCTTGATGTTCAGGATGAAAACTCTACTTGGCATCCTCTTTTTGGTTGTTTGGCTTACTCTTTCAGCTGAAAGATGGAGGCAGTGAATTCCTCCAAAACATCAGTAATATTTTTTAAGCTGTACAGTGTCTCATCTCGTAAGACAGTACTTCTCACTGTTACTGCCATATGAGCCTCATATTCAGCATCAGTATTATTTATTTGGAAAAGTTTAGGGTTTTACATTTTACAAACTTCATATGAAGCTAATTTTCAATTGATGGTTATGAGGTATGCTGGCGAGACTAACAATTCTGGGGTTTTTTTAATTTCTGGGGTCAGTTTGTGACCAGATGGGAATTTATTCTGCTCTTGAGTCTTTGTACCGTCTGAGTGTGGACAGTGTTGCCAGCATTTCAGATGTAGATGCTGCTCCATCTTCAGGAGTCAAGTGAGTGTTCATGTATACAATGAAACCCCCATTTAATAAACCTGTTTTAAGTTTTCCTTTGTTTAAAATTCAATTTCAGTGGTCCCAAGTCAATAAACTCAGGGTAATATTACCTTCATTTAATGTTCAGAATAACTGGTCCCCAAAGAAACCTTAAATGGGGGTTTCACTGTACATAGGCTTTGATCCAGTGGACCCACATTGAGAGAGTTGGGTGTCTGTGACCAACTGTTGCCACTGGGGACAGTGGAGACAACTGCACAATTCAAAGAACCACAAACATAATCAACTTCAACATTGAAACCCTGTGAAAGCATTAAATTAGTAATTACATACCTCTGTAGAGAGGTCATACATTCTGTAGAGTGCTTGAGGAAAAACAAAAGCACAAATGAGAATTATTGTCTTCAGACTTCTATGAATGCATCCTGTTGTGCTGTATACATCCCTACATAGCAAATAATAGTAATACTTTGCATAAAACATTAAGAATCAATCATAATAATCAACAAAAGTGTAATGTACGTTGTGTGTTCAAGTTCTAAGGTCTCCGATTTTTTTCTCACACAATAATCATACAAAAAATTTGAAACTTCTGTCACTTTTCAACATAATCTCCCTGCAGCCGTACACATTTTTCACAATGTTGATGCCATGATTCCATGGCCGCTGCGAACGCTTCTGTAGGAGTCTGTTTTGACCACTGGAAAATTGCTGATGCAATAGCGGATTGAAAAATGGCATCCATGTCTCATCCATTGTCACAGTTGATGAAAAGAAAGTCCCATTCATGCCTTCATCATATGTCAACATTGGCTGGCAAATTGCCATGCATGCAGCCTTGTGGTCATCCGCCAGAATTCGTGGCACCCACCTGGAGGACACTTTCCGCATTCGCAGGTCTTCATGCAGGATTTTGTGCACAGATCCCATGGAAATGCCAACTCTGGAGGCGATGTTTTCCACACTCAATCGGCGATCCTCCAAAACAACTTTCTCAACTTGCTCGACCTTGTTGTCAGACCAGCTGGTGCAAGGCTGAGATTGTTTTGGTTCATTGTCACATGACGTTCGGCCTTCTTTGAACTGTTGCACCCATGAACGCACATTTTTCACATTCATGACACCATCACCACACGTCTCACTCAACTGGCGATGAATTTCAATGGGTGTCGCACCATGCGAGTGGAGAAAACGAATGATTACTCGCTGTTCTTGTAACGAAAACGTCGCCATTTTAAGTATCAAAAACACTTCTCACTCTCACCGCTACCACTAGAGTTCTGTGTGCCGTAGAGTGCTGCCATCTCTGTCACGCATTCACAAAGAGTGCACACGTATTTTAAACTAAACTGCATATGTCTATCTGCTCCCAGTCCTGAGAAAAGGGCTGTAGAGCCATAGATAGATAAAATGTAGAACAAGAAACTACAAAATGTTTGTGCACTAAACTCAAAGAAACACATCTGCTTCTGGTGAGTTCCAAAATGTGAGATTTCTTGATGGTGGATTACATCAGTGTGGCAAGAGTCATTTGAATTTTCTGGATCTTGTGACATCAGATGCAGATAAAAAACTCTTATAAGCCACTGGCATATTTGAATTCAGAAATTTTGGATTTTATTGAAATATTCTGAATGTTATTGCTCAGTTGTTAGAAAAAAAAATATTTTCCTAGATGTCATTTTGACACCTGACTTGAGCTCAGTTCAGTCATGCACATAACCGTCCAAGGGGGCCACGCCATGGCTCAAGCGGTTAGTCGCTGGCTTTCCACCACAGCGGGCCGGGTTCGATCCCAGGTCTGATCAAGTGGGATTTGTGATGGACAAAGTGGCGCTGGGGTAGGTTTTCTCTGAGTACTTAGGTTCCCCTACCAATCTTCTTTCCACAAAATTCTTCATCATAATCACCCAGGGCAGGCTACAATAGGTGAATCAGTGACCACTGTGCCGAGTGGACCCAGTTGGACTCCACCACCCCACTAAGCGAATCAATTAACTGTCAAAGGACTAGGATCCGTGGAGTCAGATGTATCACAGATTCCAAGTTTTGCATAATATGCCAATTAGTACAACCTAAACAACACAGAGTAAGATTCTCCATAAATCATGTCTTGTCAAATGATCCAAAACATGCAGATGTAAAGAATAAAATGGAAATTAATTAATTTAATAAAATTGTAACAATCGAACCAAATAAAAATAAAAAAGTTCTGTCATGTGGAATATTATGCCATATAATCTGTTGAGCCAGCCAGTGTTTTGGAGGAATATGTTGCTTCCATTTTCAAGGTTGAAACGGCAAGCCATACAAGAAACCAGCATGAAACAGGCAGCAAGCAAAGCTTTTCTTGCTACTGGAATTATGTAAATCCTGGTTATTTGTTTTTTACAGAAAAATGTCACTGTTCTATTACAAAGATAATAGGATGCGAGTTGTTGTGAGTACTGCCAACCTGATATCATCAGACTGGTACAACCGCACACAGGGGTAAGTTTGTTATTGTTTCTTTCTCAAGATTTCTGTCTTCTCGGATATAACACTGTGTAGTCCATTGAAAGCTGATTGACGTTTCAGAGGAACATGTCGTGGTGGCTCTTCTTACCACTTACTTTTATGCTGGTTTCTTGCTTGCCTTATTCTTTGACCCTGAAGATGGAGACGACATGTTCCTCCAAAACATGGATATACTTTCAGCGGACTATACAGCATCTCCCAGAAGATTGAACTCTTCGTAACCACTGCTGTGAAAACCTCAAATCCTGTATTTATTTCTCAAGTTCCTATAAACATTTGAAAGGGAGATATGAGATTCATGATGGAAGAGAATAAATTCATGAAGTGCTGTTATTTTTATTATTTAGCATACCAAACTTTTTATCATCCCTTGTGCTTTCTAAGACAGTTAAGATCATAATATTTTCTCCAGAAGTCAATTATAAAGTAGTTCTCTGGTTCATAAAATGATTCTTCGGTACATTGTTTAATCAGTAACATGTAATCTCCTTAAAACACTTGTAGTTAAATTGTATGTGTTTTGAGCCCTGTCTAACATCAATATCAAACTATAACATATTATCTGTGTTTAACAGCAATTTAATATAGTTACCAGAAATCAGATCACTCTCAAAGTTAATGACTTCTATTAAAAATTATTTTCTACTCAAGCGATATGAAATGAAGGAGCACACTAAGCTCAGGAATGTACCTTTTTGGATGTGTATTAATTGGAATAAAACATTTCAGGGTGTGGGTAAGTCCATCTTGTCCACAGCTTCCTGCTGATTCTGACACCAGGGCTGGGGAATCCCCCACAGAATTTAAGGCAGATCTACTGCGTTACATGGCTGCTTATCAGTTACCTGAATTACAAGAATGGATGTCTCGGTTACGGAAAACTGACTTTTCAGCCATCAAGTAAGCATAGACACCAAAGTTACCTACATTTTTGCAGGTTAAATTTTCATGTCACATTATTAAAGTTGGAGCCTGGATAGCTCAGTCAGTATAGTGACAGGCTGTGTGCTAGATGGCCAGGATTCAGTTCTCAGCAGGGGTGAGAGATTTTTCTCTACTCCACAGCATCTGGACCAGCTCTGGGGGCCACTCAGCCTGCTATACAATGGTTACTGGGGCACTTTCAATGGGGATAAAATGACCAAGGCTTGAAGCTGGTAAAGCTGTACCTCCACCCCTCCGTACTTCTTCATGATGTGGTGCTTAATTAATTAAGCACAAGGACAGCTTTACCCCTCTTCCCCCCCATTGATGTTAGAAGATGGGACAGATGTCCTTTAGAATAGCAGTGACTATGGTACAGCCTACTGGAGAAATTAACACAGAAGGGGGCAGGGCAGAAATAGTTGAAGACTTCATACATTTAGGATCAAAATTGCACAAAGATGGAGAGGAAAATCATGAAATAACAAGAAGAATAAAACTAGCGAATAATGCATATTTCTCCTTACTATCAGCTTTTAGATCAAAGGATATACACTGAGCGATTAAAACAAAAATATATAAAACAATGATAAGACCGGTGCTTTATTATGGATGTGAGGGTTGGACGCTAAACAAGAAAGAGGAATCAGTCATCAATTCTTTCGAGAGGAAAATCCTAAGACGAATTTATGGACCAATAAAAGAGAATGGGATATTGAGAATAAGATATAATAAAGAGTTATACAAATTATAAGGAGCCAGAGATCTCAGTGACGATAAAGCTAAAAAGACTGCAATGGGCTGGGCATGTACAGAGAATGGATAAGGAGCGTATCCCAAAGAAAATATTATATAGTGTAACAGGCGGTAGGGGACATGCAGGGAAACCAAGAACTAGACAGATTGATGAGGCGGAAGGAGATGCGAAGAAGTGAATGGGTGTAAGGAAGTTGAAGAGAGCAGCGCAGGGCAGAGAGGAATGGAGGGGCTCGATAAGGGAGGCCAAGGCCCGACATCGGGCTGTTGCACCATAGAAGAAGAAGATGGTACAGCATAATTATAAGCTTACCATTTATAAGGTTTTGTTTTTTTCACTATAATTGGCTGCCGAGGGGTGCACCTGTCATGTGTACTGTGGCTTGGAAGGTAGTAAAGGAGGATAGTGAGTGTTAATACATGATTTAATGTTAGTTATCACCATGGCCCGGATTTTGATGACCTGAATATATTTAAAAAATGACCTATAAAATTACCAAAAAAATCCAGAAAAATACCTAAAATATGACCCAAAAATGTAATATACAGGGCCCAGATTTTGATGACCTGAAATTATTCAAAAAATGACCGAAAAAATCCAGAAAAATTACCTAAAGGAGAAAAGAAAGAACACTTCTCTTCCATGTTATTCACATTTCAGAAAACATAAGAAGAAAAATTCCCTAAAATGGCCAAAAATGACAAGAAATACCCTTACAAGTCCAAAAGTTAACCAAATTGGAAAAAATGATCTTAAACCTAAAAATGTCAAAAAATTACCTATAAAATTTACATTTCTGTAACCAGCAGCTCATATCCGAGGTTTATATATTTAAGAGCA